CCCCCCCCCCCCCCCGAGCGAAAAGTAACCACTTCGATAGAACATATTTCTAAAGTTTTCTGTTTTTAAAAATTGTATTAAAATTATACATTTAATGGAGGTTCATTTGGTACTTTCGTACAAGCATATAGCGTGCATTGATGAAGTGTCGTCTCCTGTTTTCCACCTCTTCCCAATTCTAATAATCAGCATTCTACTTTCATGTCAATTCTTTTAGCTTCCACATAGAAAAAGGGAACATGCCACACTTATTTTTCTGCATCTGGTTTGTTTTACTTAACATACTGCTTTCTAATTATGACCATTTTGCTGAAAATGACAGAATTTCATTCTTTATGACCAAATAATAATCCATTATGTGTATGCATAGATATATTCAATCCATTATGTGTATGCATAGATATATTCAATCCATTATGTGTATGCATATATATATATATTCAATATAATATTCAGATAAATGGACAAAGAAAATGAGTTTCTCAATTTATCTGAATATTGCCAGAATTATTAAGAGCCAGAGCAGAACCTGGGCCCTGACATTCTCAATAAACCAGGTTCAACCACCCATCTTTAATCAGCCAACTAAATAATAGTAGAAAGTAGAAAAAGGAGATGTATTCATTGTGGCCACATTAAGAAGAAATACAAATAGATCGCCTGAGCTCTCTTACCATGTCCATCTTTTGGGTCCTGGCATGAGGTTCAGATTTAATTGAGGGCTGGAGGTATGCCTCACTAAGCAGTCCTAGTTAAGGTGTAGCCTGCCCCTCATTGTCTGAGCTCCAGTCTCTCTTGCCTGTCTTGCCAAAACTGTTACCAGACTTAAGGTCAGAGCCTGTTTCCTGACAATTCTAACAAGCCTGGCTTGGCCATCCATCCTCAATAAGCCAATTTAGAGCTAAATTAATAGTGAAAAACAGATTTAGTCAATGTGAGTATACATTGAATTTTTACTTTCTTTTCCTATACTTTGCAGGGTCCTATCCAGATAGCCATTGCTTGTATCAGTTTCTTGAAATACTCCAGGCATCCATATGTGCTCTCTTCTAGCAGTTGAAGAGTTTCAGATCTTACATTCAGGTCTTCGATCCATCTTGAGTTGATTTTTGTACAGGGTAGGAGAAAGGAGTCCTCTGCCCACTGACATCCAGTTTTCCTGGTACTGCTTATTGAAGAGGCTGCCCTCTCTCCAATGTATGTTTTTAGTGCCTTTGTTGAGAAACACTTGACTATAAGATGTGTGGGTTTATTGCTGAGATCTCTGTTCCATTGGTAGATGTGTTCATTTTTAGGCTCTTAGTTTGTAGTTTTTGTTGTTGTGACTCATTAGTATACATTCAATCAGGTAGTTTCTGGTCCGTGAATACTACTATTGATATTTTGATGAGAATCGCAGTGAAATGTAGATCCCTTTGGGTAGCATGCTGTTTAGTTTTTGTCAAATTGACACAAACTTGAGTCACCTTTGGAGAAGCAACCTCAGTTGAGGAATTGTTTCCTTCAGACTGGCCGGTGGACTTGTCTGTGAGGCATTTTCTTAATTACTAGTAGGTGTAGGAGGGTCCGGCCCTTTGTGGGCAGTGCCATCCCTGGACCGGTGGGCCTGACCTTTATAAGAAGGTAACTGAGCAAGCCAGAAGAAAACAAGGTAGTAAGCAACATTCCTCTGTGGTCTCTGCTTCAGTTCCTACCTTGACTTCCCTTACTGGTGGACTGTGGCCTTGGAGTTGTGGGATGAAACAAATCCTTTCCTCCCCAAGGTAGTTTTTGTCATTCTTATCAGAGCCACAGGAAAGCCAACTAGAAAGGTAGTATGGACGTTTTAAAAATAATACTAAGTTTCTCATCTGGCTGAGTTTCAGAGATGACACCTTTCTCTTGGCTCTCTGAGCGTAAAAATAAATTAATTGATAATAAATAATATTGATACTTCCAGTCCATGAGAGGTATTTCCATTTTATTTTTCTGTCTTGTATTTATTTCATCAGTGTTCTGTAATTATTGTAGAGGGCTTTCACTTCCTTGATTGTTTATTTCTGTTTTTTCGTTTTATTTTGTTGTAGCTATTATGAATGAGACCATTTTTGTAATTTTAACATTTGTTACTGGTGTATAGAAAAGCTATGCATTGTTGGTAGGATCTTTAATTCTTTATTTGATTTATGTTATGTGTGACATTTATTGATTTGCCTGTGTTAAATTATGCTTACATCCCTGGGATTAAACCAACCTGACTGTGATGTTTTGTTTTTTTTAGTGTGATAGTGAAATATTTGCTAGTATTTTGTTTTTCAACAACAGAAATTCATTTTCTCTTGGTTCTGGAGACTAGAAGTCCATGGTCAGAGTATTGACTAGTTTGTGTTCTGTAGCCTCTTGTGGCTTGTAGGTGTCCTATCTTCTCATGGCCACCTCTCTCTACCCTCTCACCCCTTCCTTCTCTCTCTCTCTCTCTGTCCGTGTGTACACATACACACAACCCTGGTTGATTTACTAACATTTTGTTCAGATTTTTTGTACCTGTTCATCAGGTATATTGATGCTCTTTTTGCATTGTACCGTTGTCTGGTTTGGGGAACATGGTAGGACTGGCTACTTAGAATGGGTTTGGCTTTTCTCATCACAATGACCAAATACCTGACAAGAAGTAACTTAAAGGGAAGAAGGTTTGAGTTGGCTCATCATTTGAGGGTACAGGCCACCCTAGCTGGCAAGGCCTGGTGGAGTTTATGAAATGTGACTGCTCACATTTCTGAAGCAGAGTGAACACTCACCAGTACCGGGATTGGCTGATAACCTGTAAAGCTCACTTCTAGGGGCCCTCTTCCTCTACCTAGGCCCCACTTCCTAAAGGTTCCAGTGCTGGCTGGATGCCAAGTGTTCAAACACATGAACCCCCAGGGATAGGGAGTCACATTTAAACCTTAACGGAAGGGCTCCCTCCCTTTCACTCTTGCCTTTGGAATGGTTTGCCAAGAATTGGCATCAGTTCTCTAAATTTTCAAAATTTAGCAGTGAAGCCATCTAGTGTGGCCTTTTTTCCTTTTTTTTCTTTTCTTTTTTTTCCGTTGGGAGACTTGATTACTGAATCAGTCTTATTTCTTGTTATTAGTCTATTTAGGTTTTATGTTCTCATAGTTGTATTTGAATAGGTCATGGGTGTTGATAAATTTGTTCTAGATTTTCTAATTTATTGGCACATAATTCTTCATAATAGTCCCTAATGAGCCTTTGTATAATACTGGTTATAATATCTTCTTTCTTAAAGTCTTTATTGGGTGCCAACCCTCTCCCCCTTTTCTTAGCTAAATGTTTGTCAGTCTTTTCAAAAAACCAGCTCTTTGGCCAGATGTAATGACCCTTGCCTGCAATCCTAGCACTCATGAGCTGAGGTAGGTGTGTCATGAGTTTTGAGGTTAGCCTGGGCTACATAGTGAGACACTGTCTCAGACAATTTTTTTTTTTAATGCTGTTTGATCTTCTGCTTTGTTTCCCTTAGTTCTATTTCATTTATCTCTGGTCGTTGTTGTTTGTTTCCTTCTGCTAATTTTTATTTGGTCTGAGCTTTCCTAGTTCTTTGAGATGCGTTGCTGTCTACCTGAGATCTTTGTGTTTCCTGTAGGCACCTTAGTGCTCTCAGCTTCCCCCTGGGTGCTGCTTTTGCTGCTTCCATGTCTGTTTCCCTTTTGATTTCTGCAGTTACCCATTGTTCACTCCCTTCTTGTGTATTTGGACGGTTTCTGACATTTCTTTCATTGTTGACATCTACTTTAATTCCATTATGATCGGAAAAGAGGATATGACTAGTTTTTTTGAATTTGTTAAGACTTGTTTTATGAACCAGTATATGGTGTATTCTAGAGACTATTCCATATGCCCTTAAAAATATGTACATTCTGCAACTGTTAGACTGTTTGGCAAATGTTTATTGATGGGGGATGTGGATGGTCTGTACGTTGGTGAAAATAGTGTGTTAAGTCCCATATCGCCATTTTGAGCCCTTTCCCTTATCGTTTTTGTGTTTTTTTCAGAGGTATAGTTACTTCTGCTCAGTTTCCTAAATATTATAAATATTACCACCACTTATTTGGGAGAGATTTGCTTTCCCAGATTAAAGATTGTCTTGAATATAACTCAGACTTGAGCTCAATGTTTTCTTTAGTTAGCTGGGAGAATGATTATACTTAGTATTTGCTCACTTGACAAATAATTATCCAATATGTAAACAATATGAAACCCTTGCTAATACAGACATGCATTATGTCTGCATATACTTCAGAGATAGCAGGTAAGTCAACTATTTAGGAACTGATTTAATCTTACTGTGCTGGAAAGTGCATTATGGGGAAATAATCTAGATATTTAAATGGTAGATAAACCATATGGTAATATTTCAGCATGCAATCCAAGGATAGCCAGAAGTTAGAGCAAATCCAAATTAGAATTCCGTAAACTGAGACCCAGGGTTTAGCCAAAGGATGTTAAGGAAGAGAGTTCTCTTCAAATGTTTGAAAAGACTTTAAAATTTATTCTAAAAGGGTTCTCAGCACAACTAGGTGAAAGTTACAAAATGAAAGATTAAAGTACAGTGTAAGAAAGTATGATTGTTAGTCTTCCAAAGAAAGGTATTTCCTCCTAAAGATTAATAAATGTCTTACCACTAGAAGGACAGCAGAACCTGAGTGACATCTGTCATTCATGCTACAGAAGAAATTGCAGATTTAGTGGGACATTGAGTAGAATATTATCTGTGATGTATATTCCATTCAGACTTCCCCGACTTCTCAGCATCACTTGCCCTGTGTTTTCTAGAAGACAGAGTGAAGAGTAGATGGATTTGCAGTCAGACCTAGTCTTTCCTTCTAGCTGACACTGTAATATGTGAGCATCAGCAAGTCACATCTCTGGGCCTTGCTTTCTCTAAAAGTAGAGGTGAAATTCCTTATATATAATGTAATATGGAACTCCTTCAGTCCTATTTACATGTAATAATTTATACAAATTTTTTACTTTGGCAAAAATAGTAGATAGCTTATTTATAGCTGGCTTTTATGCATACCAGCATGTTGTCATTTGGGTGGGGACACTCATGCTGGGAACATGCTCACTCATGTGCCTAGCTTGTTCCATATCCAACAAGTACAAAAGGCAGAACGATAAATAAGAAATTCATAGGTTTGTCAACTTCACACTTTTCCAGACCTGTAACTTTGGCAAACTATCCTATGTAAGACAATATTGCAGTGATTTTTTTTCTTGATTTCTATATATAGGTATTGCTCACTTTTAAGAAAGCTTAGTAAGCTCCTTATAATTATCAAAGGCATATATTTTTTGTTTTAGTTTTAGTTTTAGGTATGTTTTGCTCTGTTTGAGATAGTGTCTCACTGTGCAACCCAGGTTGGCCTGGAACTCTAATGATCCTCCTGCCTCAGCCCCAAGTATGATTACAGGCCTGGCTTCTGCTTTCATTATTAAAAGTCCATATAGAAATAGTCAAAAAAAAAAAGCTTAATAAATAAAAATATTTTTTTGCAATTGTAAACCAGCAGCAACTGTGATAGAAATAATGATATTCTTGGTACATTAATGAATTCTACATGACAAAAACTTAAAAGCAACTTTCCATGGACAGGTATTATAGAAAGCCAGATAAACTCATAAAAAGACTTAGAGATGATAAAGCCTAATCTCTTCATTTTACAGTTACAGAAACCCAAATTGGAGATTGCTTTCTCAAGGTCTAAATTTGTTATCCATGTTGTGGTGAAGGCTACAGGATTCCATTATCTTCTCTTTACCGAATTTATCCTGTTGGGATTTTGCAGCAGGATACCTAACCCCAGCTGTCTTGAACCTGAACTGCCTTGACCTCCTGAATACTGGGATTACATTGTATCCAGCTTTCCAAGTGATCCTTTGGGGCTATATTACAGAATAAGTTTGTTTTCCAATGCTTGATATATTTCTATTTTTTAAATGACTCTTAATTATCTGTGTATTCGTTCAATAGTAATAGTACCTTTCATATTTCTCAATGATTTATTTAAAGTAATACTAACTTATTTTACTGAATGCAGTAACAGTGTTTTATTTGTGTTAATACCTAGTGAGAATGGCCACCATGGTCACATAAATAGCCAAGAGTTTATTTCAATAGCCTATTTAGTACAAAGTAAACATGTTAACAACAGTTTATATGTGATACTAAGAATTAGGGTTAGGTAACAAAAAAAAATTGCAGAAATGAAAGGTTTATCCCATTTTTAAATGGATGGTGTCTCTGACTGAATAGGGGTGAGTAACGCTGAGGAAGGAAGCAAACACCTCTACCCTGGAAATGACCTGCTTGACATTACAGTTCTTAAAAAAGGAAAAAGAAAAAACAGGAAGAGAGTCTACAAATGTCATTCAGCTGAAAGCTGGTAAACTGGCTCCTGTCAATCCAGATGGACTTGAAATTGTTGTCCTCCCTTTTGCTATTTCCTCTTGTGGGCTGTGACTAAATACACGTAGTACAATTAGAGCATTCATAGGAAACAGTTTTAATAGTGTGATTTAATACTACAATCCATGGGACTGGCGAAATGCTTAAGAGCACTGGCTACTCTTGCAGAGGACTTGGGTTCAGTTCCCAACACCCACATGGTGGCTAACTGTCCATAACCACAATTCCAGGAGAATCTGATGCTCCCTTCTGACGTCTGTGGGCATTCCATGCATGGGTGCAGTTACATACACACAAAACACACATGAAATAAAATTTTTAAAAGCTTCTAATTCAGCCAGGAATGGTAACACATACCTGTAATCCCAGCACTCACAAGGTGAAGCAGTAGAATCAGAAGTTCAAGGCTTGAGTTACATGACTAGACTATCTCAGGAAACAACAAA